AGTCCCAGCAGCTCTCGAGTTTTCCCTTTTAGGGAGGAAAAAGTTCCCCACATCCCACGATCCTGTACATGCTTAATCCTGTCACCCACAGCCATCCACAAAGAGTGCATGGCAGATCCATCCAAAGAGTATAGCAGTTAACATCCCGTAGTGCCAAAACCCTTCTTAGCCGAAAAGGACTTTACCAAGAGAGACTTTACTGAAGGGCTGGTAACCCAAGGTCAGTCAAGCATCCTTGCATTTTATTAAGAGGGGCCTCTAACCCACTCTGTCTTAGGAGAGATTCTAACTCAACCCCTTTCTTCAGCTGGGTGCCCCACCACTTACCCTGTCGGTGGATGAGTGCTGCAGTCTATTTCTTTTGGGTCAGGCTGAGGATCTCCTCAGTATCATCCCTTTGGGGTTTACCAGAAAGATGTTACTGGACCCCACCACTTACCCAAAGTTAGCCTTTAGGTAGGGGGTTTCCACATTATATAGTCCCTTTGTGGACGCCAGAAAGCTGTTACAGGAAAGGGGTCCCCATCCAGACCCCAGGAAAAGGTTGGAAAGGGGTCCCCACTCAGACCCCAAGAGAAGGTTCTTGGATCTCATGCAAGAAACAATTCAGGGTGAGTCCATAAAGTGAAAGTAAGTTGAGCAGGAAAGTAAAGGAATAAAGGAATGGCTACTGCACTGACAGAGCTGCCCCAGGGCGGCTGGTTGCCCATTTTTATGGTTATTTCTTGATTATATGCTAAACAAGGGGTGGATTATTTATGTCTCCCCCTTTTAGACCATATAGGGTAACTTCCTGATGTTGCCATGGAATTTTTAAAGTGTCATGGCACTGGCGGGAGTGTAAGTGTCACGGCACTGGCGGGAGTCTAACAGTGAAGACGACCAGAGGTCACTCTTGTTGCCATCTTGGTTTTGGTGGGTTTTAGCCGCCTTCTTTGCTACAACCTGTTTTATCAGCAAGGTCTTCATTAACTGTATCTTATGCTGACTTCCTATCTCATCCTGTGACTTAGAATGCCTGAATTGTCTGGGAATACAGCCCAGTAAGTTTGAGCCTCATTTTACCCAGCCCCATTTAAAATGGAGGTGTTCTGGTTTGAACGCCTCTGACAATTTTAAGAGTTGGGCAAAACCTGGGTGACCAACCAATTAGATCACAGGCATTGTGAATAGTCAGTAGACACCATCCCATCCACAATCCTCCTGCCACAGTTATAAGATCTGTCTTGGGGCTCCATCACCATATACATATGTCAGTTTACTCCTATACAGCTACATAAATATGTATACAGTCTAAATACTCCGGAAAAAAAACCCCAGCCATCTGAAGTGAGGAAAGACGTACACTAAGTATCCTATAACTATCATCTATTTCATTTTCCTGGCCCTTAAGACTCTCTGCAAAATAAATTCCAAAGTTAAAAAAAAAAAATCTTAACAGTGGGTTGGAAACTAGGTCTGGATATTATTCTAAGCTCTGTCACAGTCATGCAGTTTGCCCTTGGGCAAATTCCTTAGCTTATCAGTGTCTCTGTTTCACTATTCCCAGAATGTAGCCTAGAGAGTAAGCCCTCCCTTTAATTAGTATGGAGGACAAGATACACTCTCTTTCCTAAAATGGAAGTCATTATGGGGGGGGGGGGGATATATTTTAAAGAGATTAGATTAAAACAACACGGCAAGTAAAAAGAAGAAAGATTAAATTCCAAAGTAAACAAAGCCTGCAATGAGTTTATAGCCTATTCTCACCCTTTTGGTCCAAACAAAAAAGTATTGCTTGAATTATTATTCTTTCCTGCCTCACTAATAGATTACAAGCTCCTTGAGAAAAGATAGATTCTATTTGTCATTCATATTTCCCATTCATTAGCAATTGCTCACTGAACTGAAATATCTGATACTTTCTCACTAGAGTGTTTCTCGGTGTGTTCCATTCAGCAGTATACTCAACAAATGTTTTCTATGAATAGATGTCTATGTTGGGTGTTTATAACACTAGTTAACAATTACCCTTTGTTAAGTCTTAGGTTTCTATTTATTATTTTATTAACCAATGCTGCAATATGCTTTCTCCTGTATCAGTGTTTCCCTAGACATCTAATTGCTTTGTTAAAGTTCAATCTCTGTGACGTAGAATTTTGTAAAACGTAAGGAAATTTACACAGGGGAAAACAATACTTAACAATGAAACAAAACACATGATTTAAAAAGACCACATATTTAGAAGGAAAGGAAACTTCATAAACATTAAGGGATTACTCAGTGAAATTACTGATGCTTTCATAATCAGAATAAAATTACATGTCATAAAGCCCATGATGCTGTCATTTGAAACAGGGAATTCTGTATTCCCTTACAGTTACACACACAGTTCTCAACAAAAGCCGTTTTTTAGCTCTGTGTGGTCTTCTGCCTTATCTTTTAAATTTGTAAACGTATACTTCTAACCCACTGCACTCGGTTCCCAGGAAGGAGTCCCTCGGACAAAGCCGAGGAATTTCTCCTGCTCCGTAAGGAACTAGAGCTTGTTGATATTCAGATTTTAATAAGAAGCCCTGCCTCCCGCAGGCGCTCCATAAATATTAACTGGACAACTTCATTGCGCGCTGCGGGGCCTTGGGGAGACCCGCGGCTCCCACCTACTCGGGGTGGGGACCCGCGGAGCCTCAACCTGCACCCCCCGACCGGCTCCCAGACTGGAGACACCACGGTCCGCAACCGGAGTGCGGCCGAGACGTACCGCGTTGGCAGACCCCGGCCCCACTTAGACCTGCCTTGCCGCTCTAAGCCCCTAAGACTCCAAACTTTCAGCGCGGTGCCCCCGAGCTCCGGAAGCCCTGGTAGGCGGTGGTCCACCCAGGCCCCGCCCCCTGCGCGGACGCTCCCCGCGTCCTCTCGGCCCAAGCCCCGCCCCGTGCCCGTTTGCTCCGGACGTCGGCGGCTCCAGACCCCGCCCCCTAACCCGCTACTGCAAACGTCCTCTGGGCCAGGCCCCGCCCTCCGCCCGGCTGCTTCCAGGCTTCCTCTGGTCCAGGCCCCTCTCCCTACCCGGCTGTTCCAGGCGTCCTCTGGGTTAGACTCCGCCCCCCATCGGCCGCTACAGGCCCCGCCTCCCGTCCGGCTGCTCCAGGCGTCCTGTGCCCCAAGCCGTGCCCCAAGCCCTGCCCCGTGCCCCGCGGCTCCAGGCCCCGCCTTCCGTACGGGTGCTCCAGGCGTTCTCTGGCCCAGGCCCCGCCCCCTGCCCGGCCGCTCAGCCATACTCGGGGCCAGGCACCGCCCCGCGCCCGGCTGCTCCAGGTCCCGCCCCGCCCCCTCAGAGCGCGGTCGGCTCGGCAGCCTGTGGGACGCGATCGCCGCGCTTGTCTCGCTCCTTTGTGCTCGGGCGGCGGCGACCTCTCGGGTCCTCCCCGACGCATCCTCGGCCAGCGAGCTCCGCGCTCCCCGGTGACGGACCATGTCGGCGTCGGGAGCAGGCGCGGGTATGGAGGCGGGCTTCTCCAGCGAGGAGCTGCTGTCGCTCCGCTTCCCGATGCACCGCGCCTGCCGCGATGGGGACCTGGCCACGCTCTGCTCGCTGCTGCAGCAGACACCGCACGCCCACCTGGCCTCTGAGGACTCCTTCTATGGCTGGACGCCCGTGCACTGGGCCGCGCACTTCGGCAAGGTGGGCGGGAGAGCTTTAAGGCGCCATTTTCCGTGGCTGTCCAGTGGGGATCGGGGAAAGCGGGTCTGCGGTGCGGGGGGCGGGGGGCGTGCCGGGAGCGCGGGCGGAAGCGGGGTCGGTGGCGCCTGTGCGACAGCGCGCGGGCTCGAGGGCCGCGGCGGGGCAGCCGGGGGGTGCGGGGCGTGCCGGGAACGCGGAGCGGAAGCGGGGTCGGTGGCGCCTGCGCCCCGAGGGTCCTAGGGCGCATGTGCAGCGGCGCGCGTGGCAAGTTTCTAACTAGGCGGTCACTGGGTGTCCCAGTGCCTGTCGGCCGGAGCCTGCGCACGGATGGTGCGGGGCCCTCCAGGCCGGGCCAGGGACTCGGGCGATTTCGCAGAGCGGGATGTTAGGCCGCTTCGTCGCCCGGGGGCTTCCGGGGAGCGGCGCCTGGGGTCGGAGGCGACGTTAGCCTTTGCGCTGCGGGAACTAGGCGCGAGGGGCAGGCGCGGTCGAGCTTCTGGTTCGGCACAGCCTCACCGGGAGCCGAGGCCCGTGCTGCGGACGAGCTCAGCCCAGGGGCTAGCGCCCCGGCCGGACTTGGAGGCCCGGGCAGCCCCGTGGGGTAGAGGCCGGCTCTCCAGCTTCTGGGTTCGCTTTAAGGCTCGTAGCTGGCCCCGGTTCAGGAAAATTAGTGACGGCTGTGTTTATCTTGGATTTAAATGACTGCAGAAATGGTTGAGCAGAATTCTCTTCTTGTGGAGCCTTTACGTTTCTCTCTTTTTTACCTAAACTGAAAATTCTGGGGAACCCAGTACTGCTTTAAGTTTTTAAAGGTTGGATAGCCGCAGTTTCTTGGTATTTGCTCACATAAGTCTTAAACGGAGATTTCACCTTGCCTTTCGAAAGAGGCTTTAAATGATTAGTATTTTTAAATTCGCTAAAATTCAGGGATATTTATAGTGTTTTTCCTCGTAAATTATGATGGAGTTAAATGGTTTTGCAGAAATACACAGGATAACGTGAAATAAGTTATTTTAAGAAGGCCTGGCCACCGTGATGTCGTTTCCAGCTGATGAAGTTGCAGTTTACCTTGCTACCCCCGGTGCTGCGTTCACAACGCAGTCGTATCTTTTGGGAAACAGTTTCTGATTCTCCTCTTAAAGTGGAAAAGTTACTTTTCTTTAAGTAAAAGAAATGAAAAGGAGTTTTGACGATGGGGTGGGGAAGCCGGTTAACCCTCAAGGGCCGTTAGGTCCCTGTGGCACTGTCTCTAAAGTTGTGCGCCTGTGTAGTAGCTGGAGAAAACAAGTCCTCAGGGGAAATGAGTTTCTTAACAAACAAAAGTAAGAAAGCCTCCTCCCTGCGCTTTTGCATGCAGCCTGAATTAGATTTCCCGAGGCAGTCAGTAATCTGAGGATTCCCTCTTGCTGTGGTTTATTTTTACACTAAACTTTAGGATTCCGTCCTTTCTGCTCTGGTTGAGAATGACACAATACTGGGTGACAGTGAACAACAATCTGTAGAATGAGTAAAGCCTCGTTTCGGATGGTCACTTAGAATATTTCACCCAGTGGTGCCTCCAGTTGTCTCGGGATTAAAATAGCCGTAACTACTTTAAAATAGTAACTTTTCGTATGTATTTTATCCCATTAAAAATAAACCAAATAACTTTTCAAAAGCCTACTTCCATGGAACTTTGAGCAGTCGCTTTACCTTAGTCATCAAACGTAACTAGAAGCAGTTATCTCATTGTTGCCAGCTGTCTGAATCATAAGGCCGTTTGGTCTTAGATATGGAAAGGGCCTTAGAAAGCCCCTGTCCAGTGTCCAGACATTGCCTTCTGAGAAGCTGTTGAAACAGAATCAGGCCAGGACTCAGGGCTGCAGCTTTCCAGTCCAGGCTTCCCCCACAACCCTGCTAACGGCTGCCCTTTACGCAGGTTTCAGGCCAGGGTTCTGAGAAATGTGCTAGTGATGCACAAGATCCCTCAGTTGGTAAGACTCCTTTGTTCCCAGAGGACTCAACGTTGTGTAAAATCTCTGTCGCGCCTTTTATGATACGATACTGAACAGTATCTTTCCGGAAGTCCAAATCCAGGTTGCTAGATTGAACCCGAGGGTAACAGCTTTGAGTCCAGCGAGCTCTCAGTAGATGATTTTTGGTACAAGTGATTTTCATCCGTTTTATTTTTATTTGATTTGAGACCTGTTCATCTTGTCACTAGTTAATACTTTCATTTTCACCCAGTAAATTAATAAAGGCAGTAAATAAAAATAGACATCAGCCTTTCCCCCCAGATCCAAGTTGGTTGAAGAGCGTCTTTTGAGTCTGTGTATTCTTTTCACAGACGTGTTTATTGATACGATCCGTCCTTTGCAAGGAAAGCCTTAAAGTGCTAAGAGAGATGGGAAAGGAAGCCTTGAAGTGAGACGGGAGGGTATTAGGGACTTTGTCTTCAGGTGCAGTCTGCTCTTGAGAATTGCTTGCAGTCAGGCATAGCTTGTTCCCTAACTGCATGGTGATTGGAGTGGAGGGAAAACGGGTAGTCTAGGATTAGAGAATGCGGGTCGAACAATTGCTTGGTACATGGTAGGCACTTGCTACATTTGTTGAACGTGGTGAATTCTTTAGCCAGAGGCTAGCATAGTATTGGTGCCTGGCCACAAAGCCTTAAATTGCCATGTTAGTCACCCACCAGGTGCATTGCTCAGTTATGCTGTAAGCTTTTTTTTTTTTTTAACATGGGGTTTTTAAATATAAATCATTTGAAAAGAGTAAAAAGCTAATGTGGAGAATGGGTCCTTGAGTATTCAATGAGTATTTAGTGCTGACTTGTTTCAAAGTGCACAGTTGTGTACACTATAGAAAATAGTCTTTGACTATGAGGAGTTGTAGTGACAAAGTTTGTGGGGGTTTTGTTTTTTTAGACAGGGTCTTATTCTGTTGCCCAGGCTGGAATGCAGTGTTTTCTTGGCTCCCTGCAACCTCTGCCTCCTGGGTTCAATTGATTCTCCTTCTCGGCCTTCTGAGTAGCTGGGATTGTAGGCATGCACCACCACGCCCGGCTAATTTTGGATTTTGTATTTTTGAAACCCCAACATGGGGTTTCACTGTGTTGCCCAGGCTAGTCTTGAACTCCTGACTTCAGATAATCCGCCCACCTTGGCCTCCCAGAATGCTGTGATTACAGACATGAGCCACCGTGCCCAGCATTACACAAAGTTTTGTTTGTTTTTTAAGTTGGAGACTTGCTCTGTTGCCCGGGTTGGAGTGCAGTGGTGTGATCTCGGCTCACTCCAACCTTTGCCTTCTGGGTGCAAGTAATTCTGCCTCGGGCTCCTGCCACTATGGCCAGCTAATTTTTTTTTGTTTTTGGTAGAGATGGGATTTCACCATGTTGGCCAGGCTGGTTTAGAACTCCTGACCTCGAGTGATCCACCCAACCTCTCAAAGTGCTAGGATTACCGGAGTGAGCGCCTGGCCTACCCAAAGTTTTTTAACCCACCAATCCCTTTAACATTTTTGTTTAGAATAGTCTGTGCAAAAAACAGTTTTGATAGAAGTCTTTGAACAGTGCAGTCCAGTCTTTTCTGATTTCGGCTTATTCAGTTGTAAGGAAACCAAAATATTTAAATCAGTATGGTGTTAGTCTTTTTGCGTTTTTTTATTTGTCTACCGTCTTTTTCATAAGGACAAGGAAAAATGTTGTTTTAAATGCCTTTTAAAATTTGCATGGCATTGGGAAGGAGTGATTTAATTTGCTCTATTAAAAAATTGGTAACAAAGCCATTTTGTCACCATTATAGACTTTACATTGTTTGTACTGACATGTCTTCGTGTTTTCATCCCCCCTCCTGTTTTCGAAGTTGGAGTGCTTAATGCAGTTGGTGAGAGCGGGAGCCACACTCAACGTCTCCACCACGAGGTACGCGCAGACGCCAGCCCACATTGCGGCCTTTGGGGGGCATCCTCAGTGCCTGATCTGGCTGATTCAAGCAGGAGCCAACATTAACAAACCGGTAAGAGTGCTGGATGGACTTCGTTCGCTCCTGCTTTTTCTTTTTGCAGTTATAATTATACACATGGTATTGCTTTAAATCGAGGTCCTAATTAGAGTTTGATATCTTTACCTGAGGACAAACCGGAATTTGTTTCTTCAGTTGTCGGTGGAGGATAATAGGCCAATGCTGTCTGTTTATAGAGTGCTTTCACCTGTAATGTGACTGCATCATAAACTGTGATGCAGGGTAATGTGCCCACGGTTATAGCTGGTAATGAAAGGAGCCTGGCCTTGAGCCCAGGTTTTCTGGCTTTCTACTCACAGCTGCCTTAGCCTCATTTCCACAGATAATTATAAAAACACTTTTATCCCAGAAAAAGCATGGCTATTAAGTTGACTCCAAAGTGAGCTTCAGCTGCGAGTTGATGCCTTGGTGCAGATAAGCAGCTAAGTATCATTTACTAAGTGGGAAGCGTAAGTGACTTGGGGACTTGGTATTTAAGATTAAGCATACAAACAGGAACGTAAGTGTGCCACATTTTTTCCGTGGTGTGTTTTCAGTGGCATTTCACCTAAATGAGAGTGTTCAGATTGTTAGGGACTTGGTTGTTTCTGATAACCAGTAGGTTGTCTGACTTGGAGCAGTCCCCACACTCGGCATCCTTTGCTGCAATTGGATTAGTCTGAGAGACCTGGGCGTGGGCTCTGGGAGCTGTTTTTCATGCCTTTCTCTTTTTCTCCTTTTTGTAAATGCTTTTGTTATATACAGTCATCAAGGCCTTGTTTTGTGCAAAGTCTTCTTCCTACTTTTCTGTCTTTCCCAAGATTCAGTCCTTGACGATAACCAGGTATAAAGCAGTTCTAGTCTCTCCTGGAAACTCAGCTACTCGGCTAAGGAGCAAGTAATTGAGAAAGATGTTGTTATCTCTGATTTAACACAAGAATCAATGGGAAAGTGGCATAAGTGATTGTCCCCTTAAGAGATGAGAAGTGGAAAAGACAGTGTAAGGGAGGGTGGCCAAGAGTTTAGGCCTGTTTGTTTCTAAACTGAAACTTGGGATATTGGACAACTTTTCAGGTTGCCATGCTGTCACTTCCCTTTCCGTCTTTGCATGTATGACTTTACATATGTAGATTTCTCTGCTGCTCTGTTGCTTGTGTTCACAAATTTGAGAGTTCTGAATTACCTACTGTATACCCTTATGGTGCTGGGCATCACCTTGTGTCTTTCCTTCTTCCCACCCCTGTCCCCTGGTAGAAAGGGCAGTATCGGCTTGATTCCTGCTTCTGCCACATCTCTGGCCTTGGGCAAGTCATTAACTTGGTCTATGGCTCAATCTCCTTTATCAGTAAAATACGGATAATTCATGAATGGCAATAATTAATACCTAGTACGGAATTTATAGAGTTTTTGTATGTTAATTTTCGTTGAATTATTACATAGCATCTAATTTAGAGAGGACTAGAGAAATTGTCTATCACTGCTTTCCAGACCTTTATAAATCGAGAAGCCCCCTTTTCAAAGTGTCATATTGCAGTTCAGTATTTCCAATACAGAAAGGGGGGCAGAAAGTGTGCTTCTGTGTCCCCCACCTTCCTCTCAGGTGCCTCTAGATAACACCTCTTGGAAACCTCTCCTGCACTCTCGCACTCTGCTTCTTCCAAGACAGGATCCTACAGTCTTTTTCTTTGCAGCCCTCCCTGCGTTTGAAGTATCTGGGTAGACATTTCTAAGTCCTCCCATGTGTCTAGGGCGTGTCATTTGGCATTGTTAAGCGCTGTGGAATTTCTCCTTAGTGGGTCTTAGGTTAGGTAGGTGTGGTTTGCATCCAAATCTCAGACATCATCTCCCTCTATTATGTAGTAGTGAGTGAATTTCCACACCTCTTGTGATGGGCACCCAGTGATGTTGAGGGCACAATAACCCTTTTGTTAGCTCCCTCCAACCTCCGCCCACCTGCTGACTCATCTCTAGGTAGAAGGTTTCTCATTTCTCATATAAACTCTTAGGACGCCAGATCCAGGTCTTTTTCCTTTGTTGTTTGTACGCATTTAATTTTTTTAACCTGTTAATACTGTGTTTTAACCCAATTTCTAGTATGTCAGTCCTTTGGCTTGTTAGCTACTAATAGTTCTAAGTTCATGTTCCTCAAGGTTAATACCACAGACTTTCTTGGCAGTCTCTAAGGTGAGCCTATGAGATTACCAAAGCTCATATGCTGTCTGGAGGCCCATGTTCTCGGTTTCCTCAAGAGGAAATGAAGTCAGCTTTCATGTTATTTGTTTTTAGTGAGTCTATATTGACTGTCCTTGGTGTATGATTAGCAAGCTTTCTCTTTCATATGGCTTTTCTAGAATTTTGCTGGCATTTGATGTTGCCTTTAATTTTTTTATATCTAGATTAGAAATGAAATTTTTCTTTATTAAAACCCAAGGTGCCCAGCCTGTCTTGAGCATTCCGGCACTGCTCCCAGTTCCCTTTATCACTCAATTTGCTGTGGTTGCCATGTGACTGGGCTGAGCTGGAGGCTTGGGCACCTTCATCTGGCTCTTGGCTCTGAGTGTCTTCTCTTTTGGCTACCTTCTCTCAAGGTGCCCGGGCCTGCCTTTAGTGCTTGCTCTGCCCTTAAAGATTGTCTCGACAGGCTGGGCATGGTGGCTCACACTTGCAATCCCACCAGGAGATCAAGACGATCCTGACGACTAACATGGTGAAACCCTGTCTCTACTAAAAATACAAAAAAAAAAAATACATATATATATAGTGGGGCGTGGTGGTATGAGCCTGTAGTCCTAACTACTCAGGAGGCTGAAACAGAATCACTTGAACCTGGGAGGTGGAGGTTGCAGTGATCCGAGATTGTGCCACCATACTCCAGCCTGGGCAACAGAGCGAGACTCCGTCTCAAAAAAAAAGAAAAAGATTGTCCCTACAGAGGTTGCTTTATATCCTCTTTAGACCTTTGTTTAAATAAATGTGCACATTTTTCCCTCCACCAAGCACTTGAGGCTTTCGTACCCTTTATTTTTTTGTAAATTATTCTACCACTGTTTTTTTTTTTTTTTTTTTTTTTTTTTTTTTTAAAATTTGGGCTGCCCTCACCTCGTTTTTTCTCCTGTGAGTTAGTATGTGTTGGTGAAGGAGCTCAACTATTACTGAGTTTATGAATGAACTGTTTTCTAAATGACCCACAATCACTCACTCCTTTTTATCTTGATCTCTTAATTCTGTGGTTGTCTTCTGCCAAGTTCAGCTACCGGTGAGGTTGCGGTGAGATTATTCAAGAGGTGTTGCTATGGAGCCCCCAGGATTTCCCAGTCTTTGTTTTCCACCAGAAATGACCTCCTTCTCTTGATCGCTGTGTCTGATTGGCTTTCCTCTCTCTTGCTTGGCTGATAGCCTATGAAGACGGCCTTGGAGGTGGTTTCAGTCCTGTAGTGTAGACCTGGGTTGACCGTGCCGATGTCCACAGTGGCTTTCCTGGGTCTACTCTCTCTCCTGCTTCCCTGTGTGCTTCACCCCCTCCCCCATGGCCCCCACCCTTTCTGAAGCAGGAATATGAGTTTTATATATATATATAATATATATATATAAAATAAATATTTTTTTAATTGCATTTTAGGTTTTGGGGTACATGTGAAGAACATGTAAGATTGTTGCATAGGTACATACATGGCAGTGTGGTTTGCTGCTTTCCTTCCCGTCACCTATATCTGTTCTTATGAAGCTTGCTTTGCTTTACCTTTGTGTTCCTCTATCTTTCCTCTAATAAATACTGAAAATAGTTTGGGAATATTTAGTAAATATTCCCTCTAGTAAATACTGAAAATAGGTCAACCATTGTGTCTCAGGCCATCTTGTCTAAGCTGTGGTCCCACTTCAAGTTCAAAGTAGAAGATTCAAGGTAGGCATTGATGATGTTGACTTTGGTTAGCATTGGGGTGGGCACAGAGGAAAGTGGGTAGCTGAGACCATATGTCAGCTATTATGTGCTATTTCTTGGCCTTGATGACTATTTTAATGTGTGTGTGTCTGTGTTTTAACTTCTTCTGGGTTTATATGAAACACACGTGTGCTAAGATCTAGCATAAAGTGATTTATAAATCACTGTTGAGAGCATTCACGGTGTCACTACTGGAGAAGGCCCAGAGATACTTGGTCACTGACCTGTAGCTAAACATATTAGAGAACTTGCCCCTCCTGGTTTGCTCTTATCCTCTGTTCATGTATTGATTCTTTGTGTTCTGCTTCAGACTTGATCAACACATTTTATCTCAAGAAGGATGAGAAGGTCTCTGATCTGTGCTAATGATGTTGCTTTAAAAGGCCAGACGTTTTGTTCTGAGTATGTGTATATTTGCTTTTTGTTGTTTCAGGATTGTGAGGGTGAAACTCCCATTCACAAGGCAGCTCGCTCTGGGAGCCTAGAATGCGTCAGTGCCCTTGTGGCGAATGGGGCTCACATCGAGTAAGTGTCTTTCATTTATTCTTTGCAGCTAAAGATGTTAGTCGAGGATGTTTTGTGTAAAGGCAGTACATAAGTAGGCAAAAGTCCTATACCTTTGTTTTCAAAATTAGTAATGTAATTTTGCCTTTTAGAACAGTTGGTATTAGTGAGGAGAAGTGTGTGGATTCAGTTGGTCTCTAACAGAAGGGGGCTTCATTTCAAGCAGCCTCAGTATTTTTGTTGAGAGCATATTTGAACTGAAAGAACAGTTAACTAATTAGATTCGGAACTTGGCATCATCACTTTGCCACCACTAGTTGTGTCACTGTGGTCTTTAAAGTTTTTTTTGCCAAGTTTTAATTTCAAAACAAGAAGCTTGGGTTGGATTAAAGAATCTTTTCAGGTCTCTCTGACCCAAAAAGTTTCTGAAGAAAATTAGCTCTTCTGGGTTTCGGTTTCCACATCTTGGCAGATGTGAGAATGTTATGTTTTAAAGCCTGTTACAACTTAATAATTGATAGTTCCTTGTAAAATAGGACTATTTACATTACAGGCCTCAAGCTTGCTATAAGCTTCTCATACCGGTGGCATTACTTTAAAATACCTATTGTTTAAGCTCAGCGTACATCAGTTAGCTTATTTATGCTTTGATAGGACAGCCTAAATGTTTACATGTATTCTTTCAGAAATTAGATCTTATATGCAAATCATTAGCTAGCCATGGCATTATGCGTTTATTTTAGCTATTAAATTTATTTGTTATCAACTTTCTCTTAAAGATTTATATTATACACATTTTTCTTCTGCAGTTCACAGCATTAACAAAATGGATGCGGTTTTCACCCTTAAATGTTGAGTGTAAGCTATAGAGCTGGAATAACCAAAATAACTGATAATGTCAGCTTTTTTGTTTTACCTTAAGTGTTATGAATAATTCATAAAGATTAATTATAAACCACATTATTCTCATCAGAAATGTGAACATTTAGACTTTGAAAGAAAACCCACAAAATAGTTTAACCCTTTGGTTTCCATTTCATTGCTTTGACTCTGTATTATAGTAAATATTGAAAGTAGATCTCAGACAGCAAAACCATACACGTTAATGCACAACACGTGTAGGTACCAGTGGCTGTCAATAACCTGTGAATATCTTAGCTTCTGTTTTGTTAAGTATATTGGCAAGATTCGCCATTAGTTTGGGCCATGATCCTTATATAGTTATTTAGTATTATAAACATGGCCTGTATTTACTGTTACATTGCAGGGACTCTCGTGACTTCTTGTATAGTTGTGACTAAAGGTAACGTAGAAACAATTGATAATATATTTAATACAACAGAAGAAGATTGAGGTGATTCTCAGTGGATTGCTTTAAAGCAAAGTTATTTGTGCATTTTTCTTGGCTATAGTTAGATTAAAAACTCATCTTTAATAACAGAAGCTTTCATTATAAAATATGGAGTCATATATAACATAATTGATAAAATTGCTTGTCATTTATTGAAACAGTAGATAATTAGAAGTTGATATTTTTAATGACTTTTCTAAATAATACTCTTAATTGGTCCTAAACATTTTATTACAAAGATGTTTTATTGATTTTATGGATAGCTTAATCTTTTCAGCCAATAAATATCACAATGTCCTTTTTTTAGTAGGTGTCTTTTTAAAAATGAGAATCTTTTATTTACAATTCTGTCCTTGGTTACAGGGCCCTCAAGTGTCTCTTTTCCACCAGGTGTGGCTGAGATGGGCTCAGGTGCCAGTCTGTTTTTCCTTCTCAGTATAAGAGCCACCCCTCAAGACCCTGCATTATGGTGACTTCCCTGGACTGAGCTTTCATTTTTTTTTTTTTTTTTAGAAGAAATACTTAGCCTGAGCTACCTAGCCAAAAGCGATTCTTAAAGTTCCAAGTCTTTGGCCTGGAGATAGAGCACAAGTAATCATTATATATTGCTATTGTATATGTGGTTATTTAGTTTTAACATCTAAAGTGTCAAGTTTTGTTAATTTGTAAGTTGCTTCTTGATTTCTGCACATTTTTATAATTACCCCATTTAGTCTACCAACGTGTAACAGTTTGAATCTCCAAAATGGTACTAGGTCTATTTTATCCCCTATAATGCTGCTCATGGTAAAGTGTAGTCCTAGCAAATCATAACTCTTTTTTTAAAGACGTTCAAGGAGCATAGAATTAACGTCCTTAAAGTTACTTATTTTTTCATTCAGAATGGACCAGATTATTAATCATATTACATGCTGTAATATTTAGGAGATAATATAAATTTTTCCTGTGAATAGATTAAAAGCTGCCTTATTTCAGTATTATTAAATTAATTTGCTCTTAATTCCTGCTTTGCTTTTTATATATCTGCTACATAAAGTGCCCAAAGCCTTAAATTGTTGTGCTGTTTCGGACATCAGGTACATGATAAGGGCAAGTACACTAAGTGTCTGTGGCTAGAATGGTTTGTTATATAACTTACTTGTTAATGTAGGTTGCATCTGTAAGATAACGCATTTCAGCTGCTGTGCATCGTATTAAATTTTCTAGCACCACACGTGAGTATGTTAATGGACTTTCTTTTTCTTTTTTTATTTTAAATCTTGAGTTTTGGTGCCAAGTTTTCTGTGAGATTCTGTTTCTGGCTTATGTGTTGGTCACGATTGTTTGCCATTATTTACATCTCAAAATTAAAATTCACAGGATTAAATCTAAGTTCTGTGATCAAACTGTATGTTTGTGTACTTTAAAGGACCTGAATTTCTGTGTATGGAGTTTTCAGCAAACATGGGAAGTTTTCACCGTCCTCAGTCTTGCTCACACAGTAGTTCCATTTTCCCGTTGCAGCCGGTGTTTGCTGCTTGCTTGACACTCAGGTTTGATTGGAAGAAGAGGATATACTATTACAAAGAGGTCGTCATCTTGCTTTTCTTTTGGAGCATGTAGCAGCATAACACTAAATCTTCATATGATTTTGGAAGAAGACTTGAAAACTTGCTGGCTGCTGATAATTAAGATCTTTTTGCTACCAACATTGTATGTAGCAGATTTTGAGCCTTGGATTAGCTGTACTCTTAGCAATTCGGCACCAATTAATGTTGGCTACTTCATCTTTATTTTCTTAGGAGATACAGTGGAGGATGTTTCCATATCAACCAGCTATTAAAACAGCTTTATGCCACTGAGTAGGAATAAAGAGATTTAGAATGAGACCAGCATTGCTTGCCTCTCAGGCAGATCTGTGGGTCAGTTTTCATACTACATTATATAGATGCCAGTGTTTGACGGCAAAGTCTGAGAACCTTTTTATAGGAGAGGATTTTTTTAGAAGCCATTTATTCTGTGGTAACCAGATCCTCAACTGGGCTACATGTATTTTAACTTAATTACATTAATTTTTTATCTTAACTGGGATCATTAGATAGCTTGAGAAGCATCTATAGCCTTATATAAGAAAATTCAGTGACTCACTCTAGAAAATTCTCTTGCCTAGTTTAGAAAGTGGGCACAATTGGCCATAATAACAAAAGCGTAGAATGTGATGTTAGTAGACTTCGAATGCCGAAAAAATACTTCACTTATAAAAATTTTTAATTAAAATGGAATTTGCTTAGTTTGGATCAAAATTGACTGTTTAGACCCACCTTTCTTTGATTGCCATAGAGCCCTGTCTAGAAGCCAGATTTTCATTAGGGCAAATACAGATGATGAGCATATTTAATTTGAGTGTTACATTTATTTGCAACTTTTGCCCGTGTCAGAATGTTACCGAAATTTACTTTTAGCTGTTCATTTTGAAATCTGTGGTTTATTTTTGTTAGTTTATTTGCCTGTCAGAATAATAATGCAGTTATGAAATCTACCAGAATTATGACTCTGAATTCTTATTTTCTGATTTTAGGTCCTCTGAATTCTAATCCTCACATTCTACTTTTTGCCGCCTCTTTTTTGTTTTAAGAGACAAGAGTCTCACTCTGTCATCCAGGCTAAAGTACAGTGGCATGATTATACTTCACTGCAGCTTCAAACCCCTGGGCTCCAGTGATCCTCCTGCCTCAGACTTTTGAGTAGCTGGGACTACAGGCACATACCACCATGCCCAACTAATTTTTTAAAATGTTTTGTAGAGATGGGGTCGTCTTGTGTTGCCCAGGCTGGTCTCAAACTCCTGGGCTCAAGCCATCCTCCCACCTTGGCCTCCCAGAGCACTGAGTTTGCAGGTGTGAGCCACTGTGCTGCCTCCTTTTATCTAATTGTCACCACCGCAGATTTGGCTGGTCTTGGCTATTTTCTGGTTAAGGTGTTTCTGGATGGAGGAATCACTTTCTGATTAAGTTCTGCCTGCTAGACAGGGCAGTAAGTGGGTTGACACCATTCCAGACTTGTTAAGAAATGAAGTTTAGAATTTTGATTGTTTTTCATAGCAGCTTGATTAAAATACAGATTTTTTACTGCTTTTATAGATAGTGCTTTAAATGAAACCAATGGTTTCCAAATCCAGACGTCTTTGTCCCTTGCTGCATTATAGCAGGAGCATGTTCAGTACTTCAGCAGACTCTTGGAATGCTGCTTTTACATTTTAATGTATGCAAACATAATTGTGCTCAATTGCAATGTAAAACTGTCCTCAGTAACTTTGAACTTGAAAACTTGGCACCAAATTTATGTAGGTAGAAACTTTAAAAATAGTTTCTTCCTATTATTAACTGAAGAATATATTTAAGAAAGTCTTCATTATTAAATAAGAGTTTGGATACCAAAGGGTTAAAAATACACATGTATTTCTTTTGCTGAAGATATCTTAGATGTTTGCTAATGTTCTGTCTGTACAAATGGACAATTTAGTAATGTTTTTTATCTTTTTTTAATGATTCCATGTATTTGCTTATTTCCATCTAGGAATAGTTACTAATGTATTTGAGATACAGCATACCAAATTTTAAAGTAACCAGAATCGTGAGTTGATGGTTTTTAGTCCATACTGTTAAAGTTTTGTTGAAATATTGACATATTT